GTGGCTGCTGCATCGGAGGACTGAGCACGCATGGGAATGCCCAATGTGCAGTGACGTCAATTGTGATAACAGAAAATAACATAACATCTTGTAGGGAGTCGGCAGTCCGAAACCCAAGTTCAAGGTCTCCTCCGTGCCAAAGAACTGCATGGCTGTTGGGTGAACAGTCGTTAACGAAGGCAGTCAGGTGATTGTAGGGGTGACGCTTGCTGGTGGATGTAATGTCCTAAGTCCCTTCCCCAGCTAAAAGTGAGGGTACTGCTGGGGTGACCTTTCATTAACCCTCACATAATGCTTCAGATCAAAATGGACGCTAGGCACGGCCACTTCTTTTAGCCGTGGCAAATTTGTTTGCTTCTGCCAGACAGTGGCCGTTGCATTTTTGCTCCATTTGTAGACTGGAAGGATATAGTTTCGTTGCCCAGCTTTTGAGTTGAGTTCATGGCGTGACACTGTGAGCTACGGATTTCATTTGAACTGTGATAAACATTTTGTGTGTTTTTCATTGGCACAGGAACGGAGCAACTATGGGGTGACCCATTTGCTATGAAGCTGAAACTAGGATTAAGATTACCAGATAAGGGGTCTGCACTTTCAGAACACATCACCCATCTTGTGCCGATTGGTCTCACCCTATATGCAATACCCCCAGCTTCTCAAAAATTTAGAAGTGGGAATAATAAAGTCTACAAACACAACTTAATTTAACATTTTGTATTAATATAGTAAAGCAAATAATTAAAGCACTTAAATAAGTAGATACAATTTGATCTGGCTTATGCCGACACTGGTTATTTCACTTAGGGAACTGACAGGGAGGTCGTTTTATACCTGATAACAAGCACAGCAGCGTAGAAAGTTTTTGTAGAAAGTTTGCCTGATTGCCGTTTTGCCTTATTTAATCAATTGTTACTGTAGTATGCATCTGACTAGATACAGCAAAATATGACAGGCAATAAATTGTGCAATCTATTGTTTGTGTCTTCTTTGTCTATATAAAAATTAGTAAGCAAGCAAAAAGTTGAAGGATTTTCATAATTTGTCGACAAAAGTCTTTGTCTGACTTTTGATCTCTGAATCAAAAGGTTCAACAGAGGTAGCTATGGAATGAATGAATGTTTAGTGTCAGTACACAATTAAACAGGACAGAGAAGACTGCAGATGATTCGGTGTGCACATGTTTTTGAATCTCAAATGAGATGGAAATTTCAAAACAAATGAACCCATACACCCTGGTCATCCCAACCTCAAACTAGAAAATTTAGAAATGTTATGGGAAGTAAAGGCAGCTTATGTGGTATAATACAAAACAGTTATTTTAAAATGCAACAAACATTCCTGAAATAGTCATTGTATACAATCCTTCAAATTTATAACAGAGAAGACATGAACAGGAAAGTAATTAAAAGGACAAATAACACAGCCAATAGAAAGAAATTATTACATGATAAATAAAAAAAAATAATTGAAAAAGCTAAGGTTAAAAAAACTGGAAAGACAATAAACACTTTAAATAACAAATATAACCTGGATGTTTGTTTGTTTGTTTGAGTATCCAGAAGCCATGAGTTCTGAACCCTTAGGCTCGGTATTATGGATATCGCAACCTTTTGGCCTTGATTCCATTTAAATACCGTAAATCTGGGAGAAATGTGGCTTTTCTGCCCACCCCTGCGAGTGAACCCGGACCACAAGGAGTTCGTCACCCGCTCACCGCGCAATCCGGTTTAGCCAACTACACTAGAGAGATGGGCATATAACCTGGAAGGTTCAATATTTGATATACAAATTAATACTTGCTTCTGGAGACCAAATCCTGAAAAAGTATCAAAAGATGTTTATAGTAATACTGTTCAAATAATGTTGAACTGGTTATGAAACACCTTCTTCTTCTTAACTTTCACCGGTTGTAAACTCTAAATGAAATGTATGGCTGTTTGTCTGGAATTTGGTCTATTTCCAGTACATTCATTTAACAGATCTAGTATATTTGCATGCAAAATGTTGGTTCCTCACCTCTCAGGCACACGCATTCTGACTGAAGGAAAGTTCCCTAACCAGTTGGCCTTAATGACATGCTTATTAGGGAAGCACTGGGTCTACTCATTTTCCTCCAAAATGGGGCCCTTAGAACGTTATATCAATGTATTCAAACACCAGTTAACAAACAGCTTATACTTCAACTATGGCAATGCTTTGAGGTACTTGACTTTATAACTATTACAAATTATGCATATTTAAATATATGAATATTTAACTAAACAGCTGTATGCTGAAGTGCTGGAGACGCTAGCACTTGCTATGGACATCCACAATAAAACATTTGCCCAACCTTATCCTCCGTTATTATTCTTTACTGTACAAGGGAAATCACTGTATGGGTTCTCAGGCTCTCTTGTTGGAGGAAAAGAAAAATAGAACCACCGCCTCTTTCCAAAAATGTTGTAAAAGGGAACCTATTAAGAGTTTGCAGAAACTGGATGTGTAGGGTTGAAAGGCCCAGATATCACAGCCTAGAAGTAAACCACTGCACAGACATGCCAATTACCGTGTATTTATGAGTGTAAAGGCTGCACATTTGTATATGTCACACCCTGTTTCTGAGACAATGATTTAAGGAAAAAACATAATTTTCTTAGAATTTTTTTGAGATCAAAACTGACACAATAACACTTGTAAACAGTGAAAGATGGGACACATAAGATCAAGTGACAATAAGAAGAAACTCCACAGGGAAGCATGTACAGCAGGAGTCTACCAATCATCAGTAGAAGTGATCCCTCGTCCACAATTGTTTCAGCCCACGAGCTCCTAGACAATATCTGAAGGTGGACCCACCTCAGTTCATGAAGCTCAGGTTTGATCGGCTCCTGCTGCATGTATTACCAGATGTTCTCGGACAGGGACAAGACAAAATTGGTGACTATGCAACAGGTACTGTGAGGTTCGAAGTTTATTTCTAGTCGCTGCGGTAGCCTATTAGAGCAGTCGCCGTACCTGGGTGACCAAGTGGCAAGCTTACGGTTGGTTTATCGGACAACATGTTAGACTTTGTTGGCAAAATGGCAGAGGGACACCGGCAGACGATTTGGACACGATGGACTTTTAGGGATAAGACTTTCTTTTCCACTAGACACCTTAACCAGCCAAACGAGGCCCACCCCCCACAACGTTCCGTTGTGTCCAGAGCCAGCTTGAGGCCCTCTCAACAGCCTCGCCCAGTTGTGTTAGTGATCGTTTGCACTCGTTTCCTCGCAAGCCCAGCTGCTTTATCACATTGTACATAGAAGTGGAAATGAGACCTCTTGTGCCTATCTCGAAGATTCTTACTGTGTACGCTTTGTCTCTCCTCAGACCAGCCGCGAGGTCACTGTATTTCTCGAGCTTATACATATGACTTTTGCCCATTCGCGACTCATATGGCACGTAAATTTAAGTTCTAAGTAGTGTATTATGAGCAGAAAAATAGAAAACAAGCAGCTGGGATGAAGCTCAATGTGGGCGAGAACAAAATTGTGTGAAGATGGATTGGAATGACAGATGCTCTTGAAAAAACATTTCAAAGTCAACAATCTTTTCATAGAAAAAAGGTGAAATACCCAAAGAAGAAACTGATCTGCTGAAATATGTCAAGAAATTCTGGACAGATGGGTTTTCAGTGTCGCTGGAAATGTTACAGTTTGAAGTGCAGCAATTATGAGACATCATGGGAATTGTTCAGAGTAAATGTAAAACCAGTTATGGGTGAGCAAGGTCTTTTATGGCACATAATAACCTTATCAATTACCCGTATTGTTTAAATAAGGTATGTTTCAAAATAGTGTATTATTTATTAGTACTTTTTGTACAAGTGACATGTAGGCCTAATATATCAAACTAAGTCACACCTTTTTGTCTTTATAATCAATGATTTTCGGTTAAAATACTGCAGCCTATGTATGAGTAAATACAGTACCATTTCCCATTTTAAGGGCAAACACGGAAGAAGAAGCAAAAGAGAAGTGGAAGAGAAGCAGAAAAAGCAGGAGAAGGAGGAGAAGAAAAAGAAGAAGAAGGGAAATGCATCACAGTTAAGTAGCTCCAGTTTTGTCTCAAGAAACAATTCACTTCCTAGCAATTTTGCTATGACAGCACAACCAACTTAAGAATGGAACTTTGTTTTTTGTTTCACCAGTGTTTCTTGAAAAAAAAAAAAACACAAAAACACAAACACACACAAAAAGCTAGTCCTATGTTGTTGTTCAACCTTTTTAACTTCTGACCCTCAAGATTAAACTGTAATCAGTCAGCCATTACAACCCACCTTTACCTCCAAGAATGATTCTTGGTACCCATTTTAGGATAGATTAACTTGGCAGCGAAGGTCAGTTAACAAATAAATCCACGACTTTATATATATTCTGTATCAGCAGTGGGAAGAAGCATAGATAGAGCAGTTTCACCAGTGTTTCTTGAAAAAAACACACAAAAAGCTAGTCCTATGTTGTTGTTCAACCTTTTTAACTTCTGACCCTCAAGATTAAACTGTAATCTGTCAGCCATTACAACCCACCTTTACCTCCAAGAATGATTCTTGGTACCCATTTTAGGATAGATTAACTTGGCAGCGAAGGTGTTAACAAATAAATCCACGACTTGATATATATTCTGTATCAGCAGTGGGAAGAAGCATAGACAGAGCAGATATCATCAATGCTGTATGGACTAGATTAGAGGATGACTTAACTTGGACACTAACACGATTGCGTGACATAGGCTTAAATCGTGGTGAAGTTGTCTATGCCACCTTCGAGACCAAAGATAAGAGGCATAACCAGATCCTCATGGGAACAATCAGTAGAGGTACCTTGGAGTGGTTGCTGCATCGGAGGACTGATCATATAACTGATAATATAACATATCATCTTATATACTCCTTATTGTTGCTGAGAGAGACTGAAAACATATTTGTTTGACTGGAGTGCCCCCTCCCCCCAAAACAAAACCTGCACAAATTCATATCATAGCCTCGGAGTCTGGAATAAAGCCCCACATTTGATCAAGTCATTAATTTCATTGCTGGAGAAACCAGAATCTTTCAGCACTTCTACTGTATGTTCTCCAGTTTTAGGAAGAGGCAACTGCTGCTGTATCCCAGGTGTTCTACTGAGTCTTGGAGCTGGACAACTTTGCAGGACAGCAGTATCCCCTCGGAGAAAGGATCTTCTGCTTTTATTATGTGGATGTTCAGCAGCTTCCTCTGTTGACAGGACAGGTGTAACACAAGCATCCAAACCCTCAAATGCTGCTACCCACTCATCTCTGGTTTTAGTAAGGAAGATTTCTGTAAACAGCTCTCTCTGTTTGTCTTGGTCGTCTGCTTGAGAAATATTTGACTCCTGCAGGCCAAGCCCTGAGAAAGCAGGTTTATATTTTGATAAAGTCATATTTATAACTAAAGGTGGTAAGAAAATGTATTCGAACAACAGTTAACTGACATTTAATATATCACATTTAAATTATAAACGTTAAATGTTTGTCCTTTACAGGGCGTTGTAGAACCAAACCTAGAATTTTTTGGCTGTTTATGATTTCACTAAACTATTAAACATTTAGTAGTTTGCAATTATTTTCTGAACAGTCACTTTCAATACTACTGCTTTCCCATTTGGGTTCCGGGGCCCTATTATAGGGAAAACAAGAACAGACCCACTGCCTACCCAAAAGCATGTCGCAAGAGTAAACTAATTGGGAACTTCCTTTGAAGTTGGAGTGCATCTGCCTGGGAGGCAAGGAACCAGCAGTCTGCATACAAATGAGTCAGATCTGTAAAACGGATGCACACACAATTCAGGTTCTGGAACAGGACTGCAGTCCAGAAGTTGATAAACAACCAGAACTTTCCCCCAGAGTTTACAGCTGGTGAACGTGAAGAAGAAAGAAGAATACAACTGCTGAAACCAGTTCAGGGTGGTCAGCTGTCAAATCCCCTGCAGCTGGGATCAAACCAGCACCATCAAATTATGAAGCGTGTTCACAACATCTAGGCCATTAACACTTAAAATATAGCGAAGCATAAACTTTTGTGTCTAGAAGACTGCAGTAGATGTTCAAGGACATACTAAAAACAGAGGTTAAATAACAAAGTGCAAGTGAGCAATGATGGTGGCAGAATTCTTTGGCATGTTTTGATCAAACGTAACAAGTAAGAAACACATTACACGATGGTGATAATTCAAGGGCAACCAGTTACACATTCTTACAAATCATTTGTTGCTTGAGACTGAACGTGTTAATTTACTGGAGTTTATAACTATTTACACAATGGAAATCATAGATATTTTAACAAAACAACTATTTGCTGTGAATGTCTGCAAAACAACAGAACTGCTTTATCTAAAAAACTGCATCAGAGAAATGGTTCTTGGGCCAAACAGAGGAGCTCTACAATCATGGCATCAGGAAGGTGATCAAGGGGTGGGAAAAGTGAATCACTCTGAGGAGTGATTATAAAGTGAAAGTCAAAGTTCACACCTATTTCATGGTTAAAGTTAGTTGTGTATCCTTTACAAGATGTTGTATACCCAATCTCAGCATTTATTGGCTGTTGCTTTTCTGAATGGCCAGCCCTCGAAAGCCTTGTCAAAATCAACACAAGGTGGTCTGCTGCCAAATGGTCTGCAGCTGGAATAAAACCGGGCACCCCGGAATTACAAAGTGCATTTGCAACACCTTAGCTACCAATGCGGACAATTTCAGGCTAAGAGCAAAGAATCAAACTGCAACTGATGTTCTGAATTGGTAATCGGATAATTACAAATGGTATTACTGACAAAGATGTACTATTATAATGCATGGTTGTTGTAACTGTCATTTCCAAATAAAGTGACAAAACAAAGTATGTATTTCTAAGTACTGTAAGGTACAAACATATTTCTGTCATTATAGTATTCTAAAATTGTTCACCTTTTATTAAATCTGCAAAGAATTTTGGCTCCAGGGATCCAACTGCCATATACTGACCATCTTTGGTCACATAAGTATCATAAAAGGCAGCACCTCCATCAAGCATGTTTGTGCCACGTGCGTCAGCAAACAGCGTGTTTCGATTGGTGTCCAAAAAGCTCGCTACATGTGAAACCAGAACACAACAATTAATTGATTAGATATAAAACAGTGTTATCTTCAGTGACAGATATTACACAGTAACAAAATATTTTCTCAACTGCATTCATTGAACAGTTTTTTGTTGTTTAACTTACGCACAGTCATAGAGAGATATGAGTCAGATAGTTTCAAGCCATACACAGTGAAAAGAAATACAATGTAAACAGAGAATGTATATATATATATATATAGATATTATCCCTGTGTGGGTTCCGGGGCCCTATTATAGGGGAAACAAGAACAGACCCACTGCCTACCCAAAAGCATGTCGTAAGAGTCGACCTATTGGGAGCTTCCTTCAAAGTTGGAGTGCATCTGTCTGAGAGGCAAGGAACCAACAGTTTGCATATAAATTTGTCAGATCTGTCAAACGGATGCACGTGCAACACTCAGGTTCTGGAACAGGAATGCAGTCCAGAAGTGGACGAACAGCCAGACCTTTCCGCTGGAGTTTACAGCCAGTGAACGTGAAGAAGAAGAAGATATATATTAAATATTGCTTAAGGAATGTATAGAATACAATGCTACATATATATACATGTTTAACTCACCAACATAGGCTGAACCTTCCACCATGCTTGCATCTATAACTTGACCTTTCCCTGACAATGATCTCTCATACAAGGCCATTATAATGCCAAGGGCACAGACAAGACCGCCCCCAGCAAAGTCTGCAAGTAAATTAATGGGTGGGTACGGTCTTTCACTCCGTCTCCCAAGCTTGGATAAAACTCCTGAAAGAAAATAATAATAAAAATCTCATGAGTAGATATCCTGTGACATAATACAGTGTTACTGTAACATTTTTCGTTTGTTAAATACTGCAACATGCCCTTGCAAATTTTCTATTTGAATACTGACTTCTCACTCTAAGTATGATCTACTTTCTATGCGGATTCTAGAGCCCAATTTTGGTGGGGGGGGGAAAAAAAACCCAGACCAAATGCTCCTATGACAAGCATGTCATAAAAGGTGATTAATTAAGGGTTTTCTGAAATCAAATGTAATGGGCTGAAAGGTACAGATACCAAAGCCTAGCCGTAAACCACAACCCAATGGGCAGATTATAATTTTAAAGGCTTCCCGTGTGGGTTCCGGGGCCCTACTATGGGAAAAATAAGAATAGACCCACTGCCTACCCAAAAGCATGTCGTAAGAGTCGACTAATTGGGAGCTTCCTTCGAAGTTGGAGTGCATCTGCTTGAGAGGCAAGGAACTAACAGTCTGCATACAGATCTGTTAAACGGATGCACGTGAAACACTCAGGTTCTGGAACAGGACTGCAGTCCAGAAGTGGACGAACAACCTGAACTTTCCACCGGAGTTTACAGCCCGTAATAAAATTGTCATTGATCTTTTCCTTATAGTGTTCATGAGCAATAAAGTACCACATTTAGTGTCTTCTTCCATATCTAAGATGTTTTTAATTTTCTTGGTTATAGTAACGTTTTATGCTCCAGAAAGAGAGTAACTTCTTTTCTCATTCACACCTCGTCATATCGCAGGGCCTGTCATATGTTGCGGGGGTGTCATGCTTAGTGAGCGGCCAGCAAGACGCTGCATTTTACTTGTTGTTGTCAATGGCTGGCGATGCTGCGTGTTCTACATTCCTAGATGTGAGCAGTTTTAAAAGCGCCAAAAAATGTAAAACTAGCTCTAACCACAACCCTCCCACCTCATAGCGACTGTATGCAGCGTATATATAGGCCGCATACAGTCATGGAATGTACGCTGCACTCTCTGGTGGGACATAGGCAGGATACTATACTGTTGGCACCGGGCCAACAATAAAGTGCAATTTTGACGATTTCCACCTAAGTGCATTTTCAGGGCTGTTGTTTGTGTTATTTTACAATATGACAAAGGCAAACATGTGAATTCTCACTGTAAAAAAAAATCCAAATGAAGTATTACTTCAATGCAATTACACAATTTTTACTCGCCACTCCCTCACTCAGTGTTGAAATATAATTTTTTTCAAAACAAGGATTTTGCACTTTGGGCAGTAACAACAAAGTTATGACAACACATGAATCAAAAACATTTGCTTTTAAACAAGACACAAACCTGACATAGCTATATAGTTAATATCATGGCCTGCCTTGTGCATCATAGATCCACACTGTCCATAGCCAGTTAAACGAGCATAAATTAGGCGAGGATTATCTGAAATCAGAGTCTCAGGACTGAGGCCAAGTTTTTCCATAACCCCTGAAATGATTTTAGCAAAACGGAGTTTAGTATGAGACAAGGTAAATTAAATTTGTACTGATGATTTGTTATTTAGTTTGAAGATTAATAGGAAGCTACTTCTTCTTCTTTTTGTCTTCTTCAGTGCTCACCTTTAAAAAGTAATTGGTATGTTGTGTAGTAGTTTACAGCTAGGCTGCGATATATGTACATTTTGCCTCAAAACATTTGATTTCAGCAAGTCTTTAGTTAGTTGCTTTGTATGGCAAGGTTGTTATAGAGCAGTGGGTCTGTTTCGCCTTTCCTTAAAAAAAAAAATGGTCCCAGAACTCACACTGGCTAAACGTAGTTTCTAAACACATCAGCATTATGGAAATATTCTGAGTCCTGTGATGTCGGTTCTTAACCAAATCAACTCAACTAATAATTTCTCCATTCCAGATTTAAACGTTGAATTAAGAATCGACATCGCAGCACTCGGGACACTCCTATAAGTGCTCCGTCCCCATCTTCAGCAGCAAGCACAGAGTTTCAATTCTGATGGTACCAGTAGCTTTCTGACTGTACATCCATCTCGTCTTTTTCTTGAGTGTTGAGCGTCGGCCAGATCCCCTGGTAACTTGCCACAGAGCCAATCTGCTCAGACCATAATGATCTATTAATGCCTCCACACTGTTCACTTGCTCCTAAAGGGCCCTCACAACATCTAGCTTGTTATACATCAATTCACCACCAAGGGGTGCAGAACAGGCCAGTCCATCTGCTTGCTTCCCAACAGACCAGCATATCCAGGAGCAAATATCCAAAGGGCGTTAACTACCCGGGACCTTCGAAGTGATGCTTCCAGATTTGTCAATCTCTCAGATTATGTGGTAACTTCTAGATTCACTACCTGGCTTTCCTGGGTGGCTCCCAGGACACCATTTTGAGGGAGAGAAAATAAAAAGAATAAATCCACTTCCCTTAAGAAGTATGTCGTAAAAAGGTGATAATCTGAGAATTTGCTGAAATTGGATGTGTTGGGCTGAACTGTAAAACACAACCTGGCAATTCTGTTGCAGAGTTTAATAAAAAAAAATACGGATACAATATATAGCATCACAATGTACACAGTCTGCTAGAAATCAAGAAGGAAATGAAAAAGTAATTTAAAAAAGGCATCTGAATTTGCAAAACATTCTGCCAATAAATATTATGAATCTGGTGATACTCTGAAGAAGGACTATTCAACCTGCCATTTGTATCATATTAATAATCATCCTATGCTGAGGCTCGGGCCCGTAATGATCCACATTTTCACAAAATGTTGGTCCCTGGGTAAACTTAGTTGAAAAGCTCTGCTCTAAAGCAATACCAAAAAAATGTAACTGAGACAATACCCCAGACCTTAATAATAGGACAATACAACTTTGTGCTGCAAATTTACCTGGCCGATATGGCTCTATCAAAACATCTGCTGATTTGCACAGTTTCTTGATGACATTCAGTCCCTCCTGTTTCTTCAAGTTGACGGTGACTGACTGTTTACCCCTAGACAGGGTATCATCAATGATTATAGCATTTGGCTGCAACATAGAAGCAGTATATTAAGATATCTAGCATTATTTATACGAACAACTCAAATTATTATTTTATTTGGCGCTCCTTTGATTCATTCTCCAATATGGCGGCATGCCACATTCTGGCCATAAAATATCCAAAAATATCCGAACGACGGTGTTGGCGTATATCTAAAATACGGACTTTCTGCCAAGGAACAAATCACGGCAAAACTAGGATTACTTGACAATCAATATCAACATTTGCACACGGTACTAGTAGCTGACGATAAATACCGACCGTTGACAACAATTTTGAGCGTGTCTGCAGACGATACTAGCAGACGATATTAGCGACCGTTGACCAATTTCGAGACATTACAGACAATGAAAACCGATTAGTAGCAATACTGTGTTCTCTCGATTGGAGGATTTAGCAGCGGTAGATGTCAGACTTGTCAGCATGCGCCAAACGCGATTAAACTCATTGCCGAGCGTATCCACCGCGCCGCTACGCGCGGATGGGGGCTAAACTAGGTGCCTGGGACTCACGAGTACAGTAATTGGAGGAAGTTGCAGGAGATGCGGTAGCTGTCGCTCGTGAGTCCCAGCCATCTAGTTTAGCCCCCATCCGCGCCACACGTAGCGGCGCGGGGGATAGGCTCGGCGGTGAGGCACACTCGCAGAAGCAGGTCAGCAAGTAACATATTGCAGAGACCCTGTCAGAGCATTTGTTTCGTTCTCCGGAGTCGGCACATATATTTTTAATAGAACTGACCCGCATTCGGATATTTTTGGATATTTTATGGCCAGAAATTGGCTAATTTAGCTCTCTTTCGAACGCCATCATATTAAAGCCGCCATTTTGGGGAATGATTCAAAGGAGAGCCTTTTATTTTATTCATGGTGTAGTGAACCATTTTCTCCTCCATAAATTATGTCTCAGACGGAATGATGTCAGCTAATAAATGGAATATTTGAGTGTAACAGGGGCAGCGACGTGAGCCACGGACAAAATGCTGGCCCAATGAAACCCGTGTGAATCAGGAAACATGAAAAAGTCGTAATTGTAATGTGGAGTTAGAAGGTTATATAATGCCTTAAAAAGAGCAAGTGGGCAGTCTCGTTTGGGCCAAGAAGCAGAGTGCATGAACAACGGAAGAGTGTTTGTGGATCCAGAATGTGTCTGAGTATGAATGTCGCTTCAAACGCCCTACCTGGCCAAACAACAACGATGGACGGGAAACGTCGTCTGCCGGTTGAGTTGTGCTGTCACTGACATGGAGATGTTATGTTATCTTTGGAATGTGCGGTTGTGTTTCGATGAGTGCAGGTAATATTAAGTTTTTTCATCATTGTTTGCATCAACCTTAGACATTACTTATTTCCTATACCGGCTGAGATACCAGCGAGTGGAAGAATAAAGTATGAAACCTTCTTGTGTTGTTCACTATCGTCCATTTTTTACTCGTCATGTTGAAGTCCCTGTGTGAAATAGGAGTCTGCAGTGACTAGAGCCAGAAAGTTAAAGAAGAGAGTCATTGCGCGTGGTGAAGGCTCTTTTTGGGATAAAGTAAACAGCACAATAAACAATCTTGAAAAGAATGATTCAGCTGGGAATGCGCCTAGGGTCTGGACAATTTTCTATCCACAAGGGAAAAAACAGGAAAACATTTAATCAGGTTGCAACTGGTACTAGAGTATGGAAACTCTTCGCTGGCTACTAAGGATGGGGACGAAGCACATTTGGGAATGTCCTCTGAGTGCACTGATGTCAATTCTTGATTATTCATTCATTCATAAATATTTTATCTGAACACAAAATATTGATCAAAGATAATCTCAATAAATATTTAGAACAGATGGCAAACCCCAGAAAGGTGTGACAAAATTATCACATTTAGTCTGAGAACCTGTCATTGTAGACTAAGTAGTGCCTATAATTTAATTTACTGCCAATTTAATTTACTGTGAGATCTCTCCAACAGCTGGAGCTGGATCAATGGAATTCCAACACATGATTAAGTTACTGGTAACATGACCATCAGCCAACATTGAGCCAATTCTAACAAATGAAAAACTACCAGAAAGTTCAGGCAATTGTACAGCAATTTTTTTTAAGGGCAAAAATACAAATTATAACCTGCACAATCTGCTCTGTATTGACTGCAGTAGCCATGTGGCCCCCAAATCTTCAGGCTCAAGACAAATGGTTGGTGACTTGTTTGTCAATGAAAGAGTTACTCCTATCCTCATCTTCATCAATGAGATGACTTAACACTTGAGTTTATTAAAATCACTATTTTTGGAATGACCCTAATCTGGTCGATTTGATTTGATTCAAGAACCGACATCACAGCACTCGGGGCATTCCCATGAGCGCTCCGTCCCCATCTTCAACAGCCAGCGAAGATTTCCGATACTTATGGTGCCAGTAGCTTTCTGATTAAATGTCCGACTTGCCTTTCCTCTGAGCCTTGAGCTTCTGCCAGAACCTCTTATCACCCCCAACTGCATCAATCTCACCAAACTGTGGTGATCCATCTGCTCCTTCGCATTGTACACGCTCTCCCACAAGGCACTAACCACGTCTGCCTATCATGAAGCAGTATTCCACCAAGTTGTGCAGAACCAGCCAGTCTGTCCGCCTGTTCATTTCCCAACACACCGGCGTGACCCGGTGAAAAAAAGTACAGACAATACTCCTCACTCATGTCCTCCGCAGCGAAGCATGCCACTCTGCACGAAGCATACCTGTTCTGATCTTCCTCAGAATACTTTCTGAATCAGTTACAATTACAATGTGTGTGTGTGTCATGTTCTCTAGCCAGCGGAAAGCTGCAGTGACCGTCTCCACCTCCATTCTTAAGCTGGATGTTGTGGTATCATATGCTAGGCTCTCCTGCACCAAACGTCGACCATTAACTTTTGCTAAAAAGCCCCAAGCACTTCTTTTGCCTCTTGACACTGAACTGTCTGTGTAAATGATCAAATACTCTAAGCGAGCATTATCTTGAATTAATTGCTGAATTTCCACCTCTGTGGCACCTGCTGGCCAGTCTCTGCATTCCCGGCTCAGCGTGATTATGACTCTACACAAGTCTGACTGCTCAGGTGGCACTTTGACCCACTCCTCTCCTCGCCTAATGTTCTCAAGGATGCAAACCTGTCTGATTGTGTCTTCTGGCTGAGCCATCCATGACCTCCCTCTTATCAGCCGCTGACCCTTAACTGCACCCAGAGCTTCATGCAGAGGGTGGTCTGCGTCTGCAGCTACCCTGAGATATGACTTTGCCTGCATCACCTTGTGCCTACCTGCAACCGTCGGCAAACCAAGGATGTATCGCATACACATCACTGGGGTGTCTCTGGTGCAACCCAGAATGACCCGCATAGCTGCGTTCTGTATGCGCTCTAGTTTGTCCATCTGAATCTTTGAGACAGTAAGCAGTCCCAGGCCATAATCCACCACTGACAGGATCAGGTGCTGATATAGTGTGAAAAGCATTCTCTGCTCTATGTCAATTGCAGCCATAGTCTTAAGTGCTCTAAGTCCTTTTTGGCATCTCGTCACAACACTCTCCACATGGTCCTTAAATGACAGGCTCCTGTCAAATTTAATTTCCAGATACTTCAGTTTGCTCTCTCTGTTGACGTCTCTACCGTGGCGCGGTGATTTATGTCACAGGCGTGAGGGGAAGTTAAGTCCAACATGATGTGTATAAGGAGATACTCCGTATGTCACTCGGGCGCCAGTCCTTTACTATCCTGGTTGTACGGAACCTCACGCAAGACCTCTACAGCACGTCCTCGTCGTGTGCCATGGATAATGTCTCAAATGAGCATTAACAGAGCTGTCAGGGGATCTCGGAGTTTGGCGGCCCCCAGAGGTGATGAGTCCTTGTGGCTCTCATCAGCCCGCCCCCAAACGCTTGGGTGAAAAATGTTATCAAAACTCATTAGGAACATGAGTAGGTTCGACAAAAGTACAGCTAAAATCACAACCCTTGGTTAAAAGACTGCTGAGTAAAGAGAACATTGCTCAATGCTCATCCTCGGTTAATTCTCAGTGTCGTCATCACCGCGCTGAGGTGCACCACAACAGAAACCATACATGGGCTGGCCTTCCTTGTGCATCCTCGGTTGGCCCTCAGTGTCGTCGTCACCGCGCTGAGGTGCACCACAACAGCAACCATCCATAGGCTGGCCAGTCACGTACATCCTCGGTTAACCCTCAGTGTCGTCGTCACCGCGCTGTGGTACACCACAACAGCAACCATCTATCGGATGGCTAAGCCTAAATGTCCGACAAAACTAGATCATACGGATCAAAATCTGACCATCAAAATTTGCACTGAAATGCAAAAGGCCGAATGTCCACACCCAAAGACCCCACTCGCCCGAGTGTTGGGACAAAACGAATAACGATATGCCTGATTCAGGATGTGAAATTCTGCCGGGCAAATGTACCTATCTGTGTGGTCACAAAAGTCCAAAACCAACGGGCTGCTCCCCGCTGACTTCCAGAGGGCGCAGCCCCTGTCGAGCGGGAGGCCTGATACGGTTGTGAGGTTAAGCAGGCATGTGCAGGACGTGACGATTCCTTGGGTGAGCCCAGAACCAGAGCGCCATGTGCCGGCTCTCATGCATGCATGAAGCCTCCTTGGATGGCGGGGAATGCCCATGATCTGCCCCTGCCTTCCCTTGAGGGCCAACTGTTTCACAGGGGGTTGCCCCAAAGGGCTACTCCGGGGGCAATACCTGCGGCGAAGGAGACAAGGCGGACACCACACAAATCAGGCAGTCTCGACCCACACAAAACAATGGCCACAGTCACCCTAGAAATAGGCCTGACGTCTTCCTTCGAAGTCGGCGTACAGCTGCCCAAGAGGCAGGGAAATAAAAAACGGTTGTACACGCAAAAATCAGGTCCAGGTGAAGGCCAAAAGTCCAAGCGGACGATTAACCGGGACCTTCCACTGGAATTCACAGCCGGTGTTCGATGAAAAAAAAAAAAAAAAAGACGTCTCTACCATCTATCGTGAGACTTGGGACATTAGTTTTAACGATTCTGTTGTCCAGAGAACACCACAAAACAGACGCCTTTTCCGGGGGGGACGACAGCCTTCATTTCTGTACACCACTCAGTCACTTTGTCTACTGTCGCTTGTAGCTCCCGGGCTGTTTGTTCCCTCTCTTCCCCCTGCCTATATGCAAATATCTTATCTGCAAAAGTCAGTATCCTTCCAACTCCTGGTGCTTCTAGGCTTGCAATCTTGCTCGTATACATGTTGAAGAGCCCAGGCGAGAAGATGACAGATCCCTGTGGCAGTCCTGGGGCCCAAGTGCATGGTTCAGATGTACATGAGCCCAGTCGGAGAGAAACCCGATGTGAATACAGGACAGCTGCAACCCAATTCACCAGCCATGGATTGACCTCCTTCTCCCTCAGTGCAGTCATTAAGATGTCGTATCTCATTCTGTTATAAGCATCCTCGAGATCCAGTCCTACCGCCATAATTTCTTGTCTGTTCTGGAACCCTTCATAGACGTCAAAAGCAAAAGTGGCCACATTTGCCGAAGTGTCCTTTCCTGGCCTGTAACTTCCCAGACCTCTTGGGAGAAGCTTCCCCCTTTCCAAAAATTCTTGTAACTTTACAGCTACTATCTTCTCCAAGACCTTCCCAAATTTGTTTTGTAAGGTGATGATTCTAAAGCCACTAAGCTTAGAATGATCTTTAAAAGGTTTTGGTAGTGGGATTAGATAGCTGTGCACCCAGTCTTGCGGTACTGATGCTGTCTTAATACTCTGGTTAAAACAGTGGGCCATCTCTGCCAGGTCTACATCGCTCAAAGCCTTCATGTGACCATACCTGACACCATCAGGCCCTGGTGCAGTGTCTTTTGCTTTTTTTCAAAATTTGTCTGATATCTTCCACTTGTATCTTGTCTTCATTATGCATATTTTTCAAGGTGCCAGCTAACTCCTTTCTAACTGCATCCCTGATGTCTACATCATTATGATCTGTCTGAGCTATAAACCTTGTCTGTTGTCACACGCACACCATCGTCTCTACAAATTGTTCCGACTATCATAGGACGATCTTTTCTTTGCATCTGCCTTTGCAGTTTCCAGAATTTCCCCAATGTTTTATCGCCTCCCATGTCATTCACAAAAGTTTCCCACTTTGCTCTTTTGGCCTCTGCAGCACAGCCCTTGAAAACCTCCACCTTATCTCTTTTCACATTCTCCGCTATCTCCACTTCCTCTCGTGAGCTTGAGGGTGTCTGTCGTACTTTCTTTAGCTGCTTCACTGCGGCTCTCTTTGCCTTCCATGCCTGTTCTACTTCTGGAGTCCACCATGGGGGCTGTAGAAAATTAGTTCTGGCAGTTCTTTTGCATGCTCCCCGTCTGAGGCGTCCAAGTAGGTTGTTGCTCCACTTATACTGGAAGGTTTTGCGTGCTCTCCCAACCTTAACCTTACTGTGTTTAGAAATCAAGACTGAACATGGTAGGTGATCACTCCCATGGTCATTCAGGACAGTCCATTTAACATCTAAAACCGACGACTGAGAGACAAATGTCTAGTCAATTGCTGTGTCTGCATATCCAGACCTCATTGCCATTCTAGTCGGCCTCCCATCATTGATGCAGACCATATCGAAGTCAACCATGGCCTCTGCAAGCGCAATTCCCTGTCGGTTTTCTCCACTGCTGTCTCATTCTCTGTTCCTCGCGTTGAAATCCCCACATATAAGTAACCTATCACCTGGTAAGTCCTCCAATTCCTAGAGCCAGCTCCATTGTTCACTTCTGACAAAACAGTCTACCGTGGCATTTATATTTATAAGGTTCCAACTTAAGCCACCAATTTCCACCTGTATACCTTGAACCTCTCGTCCACTGTGGTTCCACTGGCTCAAGTCAAGCACCACATGCTTCACTCCCTCCTTTACCAATAGACCTTGTCCATGTCTCTCATGTCCAACAGGGTTTATATAACTGACGTACCCCGGGCAATGATATCTGTCTGTATTTAGCTCCTGGAGCATCATGACATCAAAATCAAAAATCAACCTCTCCAGTACAGGACCTCTCTGCCTAGCACTCTGACAGTTCCAGTATCCTACTCTTACATGATTAAAGCTCAATCTCTCCGCTTTTCGCCTTGTTCTCCTAGCACCCGCCCTCCTATTTCTATGCCTTCTTCTCTCCCCATTTCCTCGTTGCTGAATAATGTGTCAAGCGCAGAGCACGCGCCCTGTAGCTCCGGCGACGATTCTTATGTATATTTTTAAAATCCATAAGAAAAAATAGAGTGCTGCAGGAAATGACCGGTCTCCCTAGTATTGCCTGCCTGCTAGGGAAGGGGCAATGGATGTCCCGTAGGAGTCCATACGCCTGGTGCCGTCCCGCACGCCCGCCAGACGTCCAACGTTCACGACCAGCTCACCCGTGGGCATCCAGTTCCTCAGCATGTTGGCCCACCTTGAACTTGGAGGTTTAAATTCAGAGTTTGCTGTCTCCTAGATGGACTGCTGTGCAAAGCTAACGGGTTCCATCTACCCGGACTTCTCCCAGAAATAAGGCAACATTTTGCTAAATTCCTTAGACGTTAGGAAACTTTGTGCACTCTTAAACATCTGCTGCACTGTGAAGCCCTTGTTGACAAGATTCTTCCTGAAGTTAAATACACAGTTGATTTATTAAAAGGCTCCACCTTTGAATAGACACCACCCCAGGAATTACTGATGATGCCGCAAGGATAGCTACAAACTCCAGCTCGCCTGTTGTTTCTACCACAGCCAGTGTAACCAACGAGGCAACAAGTAAAGAAACCTGATATCCTCAAGTATCCAGCGGTGGAAAACATTGCCGTCATGTGTTTGAACTGGTAAGAGGTTTAATTTAAGCGATGAAAACAGATTGAATACGCAGTTTTTGCTTTGAAATAATCATGTTTGCTAGCGTCGCCATTGCGGAAGTCCAGTACATCGTTTATCATGGACGTTAGGAAACTTTCTGCAGTGGTTGCTAGCCTAATCTGGTCTGCTAGTCTGGTAGTCTGAGTTTCAGCTTCATAGCAAACGGGTCACCCCATCTTTGCTCTGCTCCTGTGCCAACCAAAAAAACACAGAATGTTTATCACAGTCCCTTGTGGAAAGATTGACAGACTGCTGTCTCAGCATATCTAGCATACACTCGCATTTAAGCATATGGTAGCTATCCGAAGTGCTAACACAAACAGTCCAACATTAGAAATGCAGTTCATCATTGATGGTAGCAGAAGTGACCAACAGATCAGCAGTTACCCAATCAATTTTAATCACATACAGGCACCTCCAACATTGCGACGACAGGAATCGCACCATTTTCTGAATCTACAATTCACACCACCACGCTGGTCACAGTCAAAAAAACATTCCAACTGAAATCCGCAGCTCACAATGTCACGCCATGCATTCACCTCAGAAGCTGGGTGACGAAACTATTACCAGTCTACAAATGGAGCAAAAATGCCTTGGCCACCGTTCGGCAGAAGCAAAAGATTTGCCTCGGCTCCAAACAGTGTCCCTGCCTAGCGTCCATTTTGACCGGAATGACCTTAATATCTGGGCCACTGATAAGAATCCTATCCTGGCAAAACCTAAGATCAACCAAGCAGTTCTTACAATCTCAGAATCTGAGTCAAAAAAAATTATATTTCAGGAGCAAATTAATGTTATACAGATTCAAAGATAATTTTGCTGTAAACAAAATAGAAAAGAAAACACTCACTCTATCAATCCTAATAACTCTTGCTCCAAAATCAGCCAACACCATACCACAAAATGGCCCTGGTGCAAGACCTGCCATTTCTATCACCTTAATGCCTTTTAGTGCCATTATAAAATATTCCTGAAAAATATAAAAGTAAATGAAAATTCACTAACAAGTAAACTTCAACTGCAACAACTAAGGTGTTCACACATTAATGCCACACATGTTTTATGGATAATAACTTATTTAAAATCAAGGTTTGTGAGACATCAAAGAAGATATAATTGTTAATAACTTTTATCTAGTTAACTGCCACCTAAAAACTCAGCATTAAATCAATTGCCCTATCCTCAATGTGGAGGTTATTACCATCTCTCCTTGGGTTTGAACTTCAACCATGTACTTGGTAAACAAACACAACAACCACTCCAGTTTTACATAGTTATTTATGTATGCGCTCAAAAACCACAATGTTGGAAGCCTGTGGCTAAACGGTCAGACCGTTTGCCTCACGCTCTGATGGCTGTGAGTTCGTTTCACGGTGCCGTCAATTTGTTCACAAGTGGAATTTTTACGGAGAACCCTGGGGACTGTGCCGAAGCAACGTAGTTTCTTCTTTTTGCGAAACTTTCGGCAGATGGCTAGCTGTTCTGTGAGAGATCAAGCCACATGGATAAAACTCAAATCAAACAATCAAATTAACGCTCTGGACTTAAATCTTTTCAGTAATGTTTGGCAACTGTAAATTTGAGACTGATAGCTCCATGCTAACTTTAACTAAAAATTCCATCACATATCAGTACTGTTTACTGCTCTCAATGCAAGAACAAGTAAACTGAAAACAAACAGCATCAGCAGTTGGTTAGTTAATCGACTATCACCCTTATTATACCTCAGACAAGTCCATAAGCACTCAGATCCCATCTTCAGTATCTCCCTTGGTGTGTGGTGACTGATACCACCAGGTAAGTATTGGTGTACTATTTTCTTTAACTACCTCTATTGTATTCACGTCTGACAACACCTATTTTGACATGAAGTTCTTGTAGCCTTGTCAAGTCTGCAGATTCACCATCACCTCCTGATTCACTTACTCATCCTGTCCCCTTGAGAACATCAGCATGGTCCATTGCCTTTCCTATACCTACAGTGGCTCTGCTAGCAAGCAAGTCTGCTTGTTTGTTCCCTTTTACCCCTGAGTGTTCTGGCACAAAAATGAAACTGATTCCTGTCAGACAAGTTTTTGTCAGAGACTCCAACCACAGTCCTTATATACTACTTCAGCAGTATTCATGAACAGAAAATATTATTTATTATCAAACCAAATCTAACCCAGAATGTGTGAACAGTCATTATACAAATAATAACAAAATACATAATATAAGTGAAATAAATTATTATATGATATACAAAAAAGTAAAAGAATATTTTGAAAACACAAGGAACCTATTTATCCTAATTATAACCCGAAAATTATTGAAAATTATTACTATGTCTTATGAGATTAGAAAAGAAGGTTGTCTTTGTAATCAATAAGAGACTGTCCATTTAACAATCATCTGAAAATTATTAGTAGTAGTACATTTCACCCCACTAGGACATCACACAAGCGATAAACACCCGATGACACAAAGTGTTACTATGCGGATGAGGATCATCTGTGGAGAGATCCTGGAAACCGCGTTCAGCCAATCGGCCATATTTATGGCCAGGCTATATTGCCGCCCCTGGCAAGGAAAATTGCATCCTAATGGGATGACGGATAATATGATATATAAAAAAGAACTTACTAGACCTTTAAACAAAATAGACTGACAGAAAGAAGTAGTAGCTGTACAAAACATGGCGCAAAGAAACTAATATTTATGAATAATCCTATTTATTAAAAAAAATGCAACAAAGACACTAACAGATAACAAGTTCAGATAATATAAAATTAGAAAGACTAAAAGATCAAATTATATCTTAGAATATCTGATATCAACTGTCAGTGGCACTCCCTGCAACAGCTACTATAGGGGAGGTAATCTATTCTAAGTTATCATTACTGTAAGTGCCAGGTCCAGGGGACGTAATCCACTGTTTGTGTAAGTCCACATAATAGTGATATTCTTTTATATTTTACTCTTTAAGGCCCAAGCAACGGTGTGAGCGTTGACTGAGAAGTTCCATTTAGCCCAAACAAGGCTGTCATCGTTGATCGTGTATCCCATACATTTTGCTTCACACACGGCTCTGTACTTGTTTCTTATGTTTGGAAGTACGATTAAACTATTTAAGGAAAGTCACTCGGCCAAAATCCTTTCAGATACTTTCCTTATCAGAAACCACATGTGCATAATTTGTTCGGATTTACAGCAAATTTTTCAACAGTGCATTTTCTAAGTTCGTTTTCGAGTGCAATGAATACCAATGTCCCCACCACAAGTACAGGCCGCCATTATTTTGATAATGATAGCAAAAATTTAGATATCTCGGAAAGTGATTCAGGCGGTGCCTTTTTACCAGCGAAGATGAGGGATCAGATATTCTGAATCTAGCGATTCTTTTAAGTTTTTTACACAGACAATGTCCCACTTCTACTGTATTTATGGTGTAAGAGAAGGAAAGTGCTCTAAACAGAGAGATTGTACTATACTATGGCTAAGCTACATTGAAATCATCACAGTTACAGTCTGTATATAACTGTACAAAGTAAAGAGTAAATACTGTGTGTGAAATGGCACATTTTTCATTTGAAATTTTGCTCAGCACTCTGTGAGAACTAAGAGCCCCTGAGTGCTAAACTAACCTAGAAACTTATCATAACTTTGGAATTTGTTAGGAAATTGAACAAACTTTGAAGTTTTGTTCTCAAATTTGGAAATTCACTACTCGTGTGGCTGCAAAATCATGGTAAGTGAAAAATTTGTTTGTAAAATGTTGTGAAATTACCACCTGCTGAATTCTTCTTTCCTACTAACTATAGACAAATTAAACATTCACTTATCATCAGATTCAAATTGTACATACATTTCTCTTTAAAAAAATATATACTTCTGTTAGGATTAGAAGTATATTACATTCTCTACTGCCTTTCTTGTACACCTACCCATCTGCTATTTTTGTAAAGGTAAATAATTGTGGGCCAAGTCTGTCAAAATTCATGTGCCTGTAAGAGTTAATACTGTTTGAGATTATAGCCCTAACGACCAACCCTAACTCTGATCTCTAACAATAAATATGAAAGAATATTAATATTATGCCAATGTACACAAACAATAGATTGTCTTCCTCAAAGTCTTTTAAATATAAATAAAAGGTCAACACCTTATATTTATAGATCAAAATAAGGCATTGGATCAAGTCAGCAGATGCAAACTAGATTATGGTATTCAGGATCAACTGTTTGGTAACATTATGGCTTTGAATGTTGAATTAAGAATCAACATCATAGAACTTGGGACACTCCCAAAAGTGCTCCATCCCCATCTTTAGCAGCAAGCGAAGAGTTCCAATTCCGATGGCACCAGTAACTTTCTGATTGTTTTTTATCATAGCTCTCTATCAAGACAGCAAGTGCACAGTAAGAACAACAGAAGGAATGACAGACTGGTTTTCCCATCTTATCAGGGATGTGTCCTCTCACCATTGCTATTCATTACTGACATGAATAGAATTACAAAGAAGGCAAAAAAGGATCTACCCCCCTCCCCCCCCCCCCCCCCCCCACATATGGGAATTCGACAGGCCATGATATAGTCTAATATTTCAAGGGGTATTGTGCTGTTTTTGGCATTTTATTTGTCATGCAGCTTTTGTGTGCTGTGCAGAGTGTGTGTTTTTTTTTTTTTTGGTACGCATTTTTCTGTCTGTTGGTGCAAGCGGGAGGATAAGGTTTTTTGTGGGCGATTTCTATTTATATTTTTTTCTCATGTAACGCAGGTGGGTTGGGGTTAGTTGTGGATGTTTTAGGGCTCATGCGATGTAGGTTGGTTAGGGTTAGAGTCAGTTGTGGATGTTTTAGGGCTCATGCGATGTAGGTTGGTTAGGGTTAGAGTCAGTTGTGGATGTTTTAGGGCTCATGCGATGTAGGTTGGTTAGGGTTAGAGTCAGTTGTGGATGTTTTTAGGGCTCATGCGATGTAGGTTGGTTAGGGTTAGAGTCAGTTGTGGATGTTTTTAGGGCTCATGCGATAGGTTGGTTAGGGTTAGAGTCAGTTGTGGATGTTTTAGGGCTCATGCGATGTAGGTTGGTTGGGGTTAGAGTCAGTTGTGGATGTTTTAGGGCTCATGCGATGTAGGTTGGTTAGGGTTAGAGTCAGTTGTGGATGTTTTTTTAGGGCTCATGCGATGTAGGTTGGTTAGGGTTAGAGTCAGTTGTGGATGTTTTTGGGCTCATGCGATGTAGGTTGGTTGGGGTTAGAGTCAGTTGTGGATGTTTTAGGGCTCATGCGATGTAGGTTGGTTGGGGTTAGAGTCAGTTGTGGATGTTTTAGGGCTCATGCGATGTAGGTTGGTTAGGGTTAGAGTCAGTTGTGGATGTTTTTAGGGCTCATGCGATGTAGGTTGGTTGGGGTTAGAGTCAGTTGTGGATGTTTTAGGGCTCATGCGATGTAGGTTGGTTGGGGTTAGAGTCAGTTGTGGATGTTTTAGGGCTCATGCGATGTAGGTTGGTTGGGGTTAGAGTCAGTTGTGGATGTTTTAGGGCTCATGCGATGTAGGTTGGTTAGGGTTAGAGTCAGTTGTGGATGTTTTAGGGCTCATGCGATGTAGGTTGGTTGGGGTTAGAGTCAGTTGTGGATGTTTTAGGGCTCATGCGATGTAGGTTGGTTGGGGTTAGAGTCAGTTGTGGATGTTTTAGGGCTCATGCGATGTAGGTTGGTTAGGGTTAGAGTCAGTTGTGTATGTTTTTTGGGGTCTTTGGAATACAGAACACTTGATGCACTGTCAAACTCTTTGTGCACATGGTTTTTTTTTTTCACCTTGCAAACAGACTTTCATTAATTTCAATAGTGGTATTCTCTCTGCGATCACTGCAGGATTCAACAATAATGTATTAGCCAAGCTTCCTTATGTAGTTGTTCCACTCTACAGTTGAATTCTTTGACATGCCAAGCTCTACTTGGCAGAATTGAATGCTTGTTAGCATGTCAGACGTAGTATTATAGAAACAAAATGATATATCTGTAACTATAAGGCAGGCGCGACCCTTCCAGCCATGTAACTTTCCGTAATAATAGGTCTAGAAGACAGGTAGATTTTATGGGCTACAACCTGGTATCAGTGAGACGACAAAAAAAGAGTCTTCCTTACACTGTTATCGTAAATAGTAAAATTTAAATACCCACTGATTAAGTTATTAAAAAAAAAAAGATTAATTGCAATTGGAATTATTGCAGCAATATATATATATATACAGTATTGTACTATATTATTAAATGTGAGTAAATTGTTAATAAAAACATAATAAGTATTCCTAGTAAAGTAGACAATGAAGACTGAAGAACAATAGCTTTGTCATGCACATTTGCAACGTAAGTGAAAGCGTTACGGCAACATCTGGTTACTTCTGCTAGCACAACGATTGGCCATTCTGACCTTTGACTGCGACAGGTGCTAAGTTTGTAAATAAAGTAGTACAAACTGCAAATGAAGAGGAAGATATACAAAAAAAATGTGTAAAAGCTAGACAAAAAAACATTAATAGTTATGATAATAAAATCACGTCTCTACCACACATATACAATTTATTTAGTTATACATAAAGAAATAAAAAGGTATATACTGATTTGATTTGTTACAAAAACTGTTGTTTATCAAAAGTCTGGTAGGTTCAAACCACCGACAACGTGTAGCCAACATTTCTCGCTCAAGGAACGAGTAGTATGCCCGAAGTAAACACACAGAAGTGACTTGGTTCAGCCAGCAAAAGCATCTCTCGCTGTTTGATTTTTTCAGGTTGATTAATCAGTTTTGTTGCGGGACGAACGCCTAAGAGTCTAGTGATGTCTTTTTCACCGATCGATGAGGCAGTTCACGAATTAAGACTGGGAAAGAGCTTTGATCCCCATCCAGAAGTTGGATTTCATACTATACGATGTGAGTCTGGGTTGTTTTCAGTCAGAACAAATTGCCACGTTGAGTAAGGCAGTTCAGTTCAAAGAATTTTATATACTATAATTAAAGTTAAAACTTAAAAAAAAAACATGTTTTTTGTAGTGAAAAAAAGAAGTGAAGATGTCTATTATAAACAACATAATTAAATTAGAATGAAAGTATTTTAATAGTAAAATTAAAGTTTTTAGTTTAGTTCAAATTTTCTCTAGTTAGTAGTTCCCTTGACTTGATTGACTGGTGTAGTTTGTATTGTTTAGGATTAAAATATAAACTATTTTTTTATTAATCCCTCCTTACCCCGCTTTTCAAAACGAAAACCTTTTTTACGTACCCGTGGCTTTATCAGTCTAGGAAAATAATTTTCACATTTGTATTTTTACCTATGCTCATTGTTAGTATAACTTATTACAATTTATTTGTTATTTATTATTTAAATGTAATCATATGTTCATATTTTTAGATAAGTACATGTTTGTAACCAGTATTAATTTATGCCCACAGAATAAAAAGCCAGCATTGCCAAGCTTAATAATATTTGTTTTAGTCTAAAAAAATAAAAAAACACACATTGTGTGTGTGAGAGAAGAGCTCAGAAAGGGAGAAAGAGAATCATAGAGTATGACAATGACAGATTTAAGTCTTTTTGACATTTATCTGTTTTTTGAAATACGCCTCTGTTTATAGTATTTTTGTTGTTGTTATTCTTGCTTATTACATTAGATTTATTGATACATTGCACTGAATTCTAGCAAGTTTATGCATATACATTATTCATATTTTAGAAATTTTACATGTACTATTTTGTGTCAAGATTGGAGTGGAGCAGAATTGATTTGACTAAACATTCTATCATTTCAAGTTAAATAAAAGAGCATAGGGCTCATACATTAGTCAGTTACATTATCCAAAGATATTGCACATTATTTTAATTGCAGATAGTTTTTACTACACCAATTCATAAATCTGAATGACTATAATGTTATCAGACTAGTGTAGTGTTTAACTTCTTTAGAATGGCTACCCATCTTAAACTAAATTCTCAGGAAAACAGGAGTTAAAGGTGTAGACTAATACTGAAACAGTAAGATTATAAAAATGTCTTGATAAAAATTATTCTGTTTTGTTTATTTGCTGTGTTTATTAAACAATTGGCTTTTTTTGATATTTTCATGTCATCTGGTAAATGTACCAGATGACTCACTGGTTACACAACTATCTTAACCATTTCCAAAACCAGGGAGGGATCCCTCACAGCTCAGTAGTTATAGAATCATAACTCTGCAAAAATGTGTATGGCAAACTTTTGGAAAAAATTGTGGTGAAGAAAGGGATGTTACACTTAGAAATAATGGGGCATGCTACTGGACATCATTGGCAGCTATAGGCCATCAAAGGCAACATGGAACAGTGTTCACATACGATGTGTATGAAGGAATTCAGCAAAAGCAAGATACAGTCACTGTCGCAATAGATAATGCCTATAACAGCGTTAACTTCACATATCTTATGCAGTGCGTGATAGACTGGTGTGAACACTTGGTTAGCTAATTGGATGGGGGCAGTATTGTAGGAAAGAACAGTGGTATTTTGTTTGCGAACATGGAGATCAGATTCAATATGCATTTGCCCAGCCCTTACCCAGGGATCACTATTGTCACCTGTCTTGTTTAACATTTATACAGCAAGTCTGACAAAAATTTAGCCCACTGGACCAGGGCAAATATTTGCAGAGGATGTCCTCGTGTATCAAAGTGGGTCAGATAGGCACGACATGACCAGAGACTTGCAAAATGCTTTGCATCAGATGACTGAGTGGTGTGAACAGACAGGGTCAAGGGTTAACCCAGAGAAGGCCAGTGTTTTGTGGTGCTCTTTGAATAACAGCTTTGGGAAGGAAGACTTGCCCAACATATCCATGAAGGGTATTTATGTTGAACGAAGAGATAAGTAAAAATACTTAGGTTTGATGGTTGATCGCAGTTTGTCCTACAAATATCACATGGAGCAGACTGTGATCACATGCAACGTGACCTGGTGGCACTGAAGACGATGGTGGTGACACACACAGAACAAGGATTATAGGTCTTATTGTTCAACCATTTGGTCCTTTCTGTAACTGATTATGGCCTAGGATTATTAACACTATCTACTTCACAGTGTACAAAGCTTGTAAGGATTCAAAATGAAGGAATAAGAATCGTCTTGGGTTGTACACAGGACACCCCAATTAGAACAATAAGGTATAAGCTTGGGCTGACATTGGTGAAGTCTAGACTAGCGCAAGCCAAGGCCTATATGCGAGTTACCAGTGATGAAAGGCTGTATTGTAATTTGGACTATTTAAGAAAAGACTGGTTGAAAAGAGGAAAGTCATGAATGGCACTAGCTGATGATACCTTCGAGATGGCGGCCTCAGTCAAGCAAATACACAGGGGGCAGGAATGAATCGACACAAACACCCAGAACTGCAGTTTTCATCTGGTCATTATCACATTAGGAAGAGAATATAGTGAGCGGTGTAACGGTATGGCAAAATTAGAGGCACAACAACTGATAGGTGGAAAGGCTGGACTAGATGATGCAGTAGTGTACACAGATGGTTCTGTTCATCAGGGCGTGAGATCTGGCTGGCCATTTTCAGCTAGAATAAAGGGAAAATTGTCGTAGAACAAAACGGCTTTTTTTTAATCTACAACTTCAAGCATGGGAATGGAAGTGGAGGCAGTCACTGCAGCTCTAAAGTGGATAGCAGAAAATAAAGTGACCAGAAAAATCATTGCGTCTGATTCTCAGTCAGCTTTGTGAAAGGATTAAAATGAACTGACATGAGTGGATGCCATGCATCAGTACGCCAACATTGCAGGGAATCACATAGATATACTGTTCGGGACATGCGGGAATGCAAGGAAATTAAATAACAGATTTTCTGGCTACAAAAGCGAAAGCTACTGGAACACTCCTACTGGACAAGGGAGATATTCTAAAGACCATATATGAATGACTTTTGGTAGAAGACATGAGATTAGATAAAATAAAATAGGCAAGAATGTGTGAACAATGAATTAAGTGGGGATCCGGCAAGGAGGAACGGAAGAGATCGGCTTGTGTATAATCAGTGTGCTCTGGGAACAGTTGGCAACTACACCTCACGTCATTTGCTGCAGGAGAGGGAGCATCTATGGCTATGCCCGGTGTGCTATGATTTTGATTCTCAGATCAGTAATCAGACATCTTTTATGTATCCTTTGATTCAGATGATTTCAAGCCAGCATCAGTAGATACAAGCAAAGCGGCTTCTGTTGAGGTTGGCAAGGGAAATCAAGTCACAGTGACAGTTCCACATGTTGAGGTATATATTTTCATTTACGCTGGTGTGTGCTAATTGATTTTTACTGCTGGTATGGAGAAAGCTTCAAATTAAAATAATTCTAAAATCTTTTACAATACAAAGAAGAGTGATTAAACAAGTTAAGTCCTGTATTTAGAGAAAATAATTTCCCATATGGGTTCTGCTGTCCTATTATAGGGAAAACAAGAATAGACCCACTGCCTACCCAAAAGCATGTCGTAAGAGTCGACTAATTGGAAGCTTCCTTTGAAGTCGGAGTGCATCTTCCTGAGAGGCAAGGAACTAGCAATCTGCATACAAATGAGTCAGGTCTTTAAAACGGATGCACACACAACACTCAGGTTTTAAAACAGGACTGCAGCCCAGAAGTGGATGAACAACCAGAACTTTCCGCCAGAGTTTACAGCTGGTAAACGTGAAGAAGAAGAATACAAAATAACACTACTGATTGCCTGGAAACGGTTGTTAAAAGCAGAACAATCTGTGCAGACAAATTCACTTTGAAGTAATTGATTAAGAGCATTACAGAGCAAACATATGTATAGGTAACTGACATAACACGCGTGCACACACATACAAGAAAGACATATAACCCAAAAGCACATGCTGAGAACAGAAAAAGATAGGAATTTTAAGAAAGGAATTGTTGTTGTTGTTGTTATCGATCCAGCGGCGCATGAGCTTTCGCCCTTTGGCCCAATGCCATGTAGTGGAATTTGCATGTTTTCACAAGCTGTTCTTTTCCTCCGTACAGGTGTTCCACTTTGTCTGGTCTCGGAGGGAGTAGCGTTCTTCTTGTCTCACTGAGTTTTGGGCACTCAAAGAGATGGTGTTTCAACAGTTTCGTAGGGGTAGTTACATAGCTGGCACTCTGGGGAGTGTTGTGGCTGTATTCTGTTTTAGGTGTCCATTGAGTGGAGTATGTTGCGTTCTAAGTCTGAAGATGGTGGCCTGGTCCCTTCTTGTTAGATGGTTAATGCTGTCATTAGGATCAGGGCCAGACATATGTCTATAAACCTCTCTTCCAGTGTCTCCCATGGCCCATCTGTTCAACCAAGTCTCTTTGTTTATAGCTCTTATCAGTGTTTTTGCTGTCTGGAGGGTTGTCGCTGTAGGTGGTTGTTCTTGTGTTGCTCCTTTCTTTGCCAATCTGTCAGCTCTGTCATTACCTGGTGTGCCGGAGTGACCTGGAATCCACTGCATCACTATTCTGATGTTGTATGAGGTAATAAGATGATCGGCATCCAGGATTATCTTGGCTATGTCAGTTCTGCAGCGTTCATTGCCCTCCAGAGCTTGAAGGGCAGACATTGAATCTGTGAAGATGACAATATTTTGGACCTTTGAGGGGTAAACATCCATTACAGTCTTTAGGTGGTATACTGCTGTTTCCAGTGCAATTATTTCAGCTTCATAGTTTGAACAGAATTCCCCGCATGCATCAAAAATCTCTTCAACAGATCCATCGGGATAACATATGTAGATTCCGTAACCTGCTTTAATGGTAGCTTTTAAATGCTGATCCATCAGTATAGACATGTATCCATTCTTGGGGGTAAGAATCAACGGTCTTTAGTGATGAGTTCATAAGAGCGATTGGGTCGGACTGTTTGGTTTCCTCGCCTACCAATTTAGTTTGGACTTCTGGAGCTTTAAAGCGAGCATGTGGTGGTAGGTTTTTTGCAACATTCTGAATTCCTTGACGTCTTTCTGGGAGGTGGTATCTGTCCTGAATTTCATTTACACAGTGTAAAACCGATTTGTGCTTTATTCTTTGTTCTTTGTTTGGATTCCCAAAGAAAGGAATAAAAGAGATTTGAATTGCTGGCAAAAAAAAAACATCACGGGCGCCCAAGGAGTAAGTCAAGAGAGACGTAAAATCGGTGCATCTTGCGTTCATTGGGCTTTTAGGTAGAAATCCATGAACGTATGATGCTTTCCTTGGGACTCAAAGAGTTAAAAAAAATTACATAAGTATATCGGTGTAAGAAATTGAGAATTCTTTCATGTTTTCGTGTTTCAGAATTCAGGTAGTAACTGCACAGTTTTCAGAGGAAATAAGCAGCCAGTAGTGAAGGAGTGTGTACTCATCATTGACCACAATACAGGACTTTTTACGCTGGAAAAAATTACAAGTAAAATTACAGTTAAAAAAACCAGGTAACATTTTTTTGGGGGATAAATCTTTAATATTTTTAATGAAGTAATAATAATTCCTTTTTCTTCTTGGTGTTTACCAGCTGTAAACTATGGTAGAAATTCTGTTTGTTTATCCATTTCTGGACTCTGATCTTGTTCCAGAATTGTGTATGCAGAGTGTTGGTTTTTTTGCCGTTCAGGCAGATGTACTTCGACTTGAAGGACACTCCTCTGATTAGTCACCTTGTACAATATGCTTGTCAGTGGAGGCAGTGGGTCTGTCTTTTTTTTTTCCACCAGGCAGGAATACATTTTTGAATATAAATAATGTTTATATTTCATGCCAAATGAGCTGAAATATGTGTAATGTTCACAGTGTGTATTTTAAAGCTGCGATCAAGAGGTAAAACCATTAACATATTTAGGTAGTAATGTAACAGTTACAGAAATAAGAATAAAAAAAGTAAGAGGAGCTTTCTTTTTTTACCACGAAGAAATTTCTATCTTTAAATAATCGGGCCTCAGTCGCTTCCATGATGCAACTCTTGTGCTTTTGTCTGAAAAACTGTGAAAATATCTGTGGGTTCAGTCAGCATTTGTAGGTATCAAAGTTGATTATTTTTCACTTGAATAAAATATATACCTTTTTACACTGATGTTAGAATTTTTGGAAATAAAGACTTATTGATTGTTTCTTTAATTTTTTTTTAAATTACGTGTTCTTTTCTGGACATTTGTTTCTCTCCATGTTCAATTCAAAAACTAAATGCCTCTTGAAATGTCATAGTGTAAGAGAGTTAATGTTAAGCAGTAAACTGCAGTCTTGTCTAAGAAAAGCCTGCATGGCATTAAATACAGTTAACAGAAATCATTGTGTAACACTAGTATGTATGTTGTATTATTGTATATTCATTTCTCGTTCAAGATTGGATGGTAGCAGCAAGCAGTGCAAAACATCACTGGGAGGGTCACACCCATAGAAAGAAAAGCTGCTGCAAATTCTGTGAAAACAAAGACTGGACAAAAGACCTCTCAAGAGGATGTCTCAGTTACCACAAATAACAGCAAACATACCTTAGAAGGTAGGTTGAAATGCTTGTTCATAATATGTTAGTATTTAAGAATGACTAATATATGAGATGGCCAGGGGCTGTTAGGGTTGGTTCTGCAACGTCCTGTAAAGGATACGCAACTAACATAAAAATATATGAGATGGCAGTTGTAGTGGCTAGATGCTTACCTGTCATCCCAATGGTCTTGGGTTTGAATCCTCTACATGACATAGTTGTTTAAAAAATGATCTTGGCTTTAAGGTTGATCCAGCTTAAAATTGGTAGCAGGTAATGACCTGGGAGGTAAAGACAGTTGTCTTCATGTTGATCACATTGCCAAGTGAGTGCCATTTGGTTTGTAAAAATTATGAGACTCATCTGGGCAACCACTGGTATCAACAGTTGTAAGACAAAGAAGATGGTGCTATATTAGACACACCCTAAGAAGAAACCAGCAGATAATCACTAAGCAAGCACTAACATTTGAAATAAAATGATTGACAAAAGGAGGACATCCAAAAGAAATCCTTAATGAACATTAATGAGGGGGACCTAAGGTGCTGGACTGGATTGCACACATGATATCAAAGAGATTGCACACATGATATCAAAGAGATTGCACACATGATATCAAAGAGATTGCACACATGATATCAAAGAGATTGCACGCATGATATCAAAGAGATTGCACACATGATATCAAAGAGATTGCACGCATGATATCAAAGAGATTGCACACATGATATCAAAGAGAATGCACACATGATATCAAAGAGATTGCACGCATGATATCAAAGAGATTGCACTCATGATATCAAAGAGATTGCACGCATGATATCAAAGAGATTGCACAAGCTAGAATTGAATGGAAGAATAGACTGTGAGCCCTCTGTAACATAAAATGGCACAAACAGATTGCACACAGTTAGAGATAACCATGTATCGTGATGATATCAAAGAGATTGACGCTGATAGCTGAGTGAAGAACTCAGAATGATCAATGAGGTATGCTTGTTACCGCATGATATCAAAGAGATTGATTCAAAGAGATTATGATATCAAAGAGATGATGATATCAAACAGCACGCATGATATAGGATTGCACAAGCTTTTTCTGTGACTGTGAGCCCCTATAAAAAGTTCAGGCTATGATATGTTGTGTTGTGGTTTAATCTAGGTCGTGATATCTGCAAATTTAGGCTTGTTCAGGGAGCATTGGATCTGTTCTCAACATGAATAAGGCCTCAGAACCCATGGGAAAGAAAAACAATGATTATTTTGGGATTAATCCTGGATTTACTTGTTTGGCTCCAAATCAGCATAGTTATATAATCAAAACTTCTCCTTTTCTTCTTCATTTGATCTTTTACCGCTTCAGATTTCAAGAGATATGCTGTCTCAACGCGTGTATATGCCAAAGTGTTTTAACCAAAAATCATTGCTTATATTCAAGATCTTACGCTGTGACCTTTAGCAATGACACACAGCATTACAGTACACGGCTGTTTTTCTGTTCCTAAAGTTCACACAAGCACTGTTGTTTCACCTAGCATATAGAATACAGGAGTTTCATCTGCATTTCCAATTGCCCCTATGGTGTAGTTTTATGTCTCCTGTAACTTTAGAACATGTCTTCAAAACGCAAACAGTTTCTTTAGGTAGGTATGGGGAGTTGCTGTGTGTTGTTTGCCGCCAAATCACTAGGCCATTTTCTGCCGTAAAGCACCTTGGCCAACCATAACTAGCTTCAAATTCACGCTAAGGAATTCCTATAATGTCTGATAATTGATGCACTTCAAACTAATATTTCCACGGACACAAAAAATCTGTCTGCCCATGTTTTCTTGACATATTCCAGCAGATTGGTTTCTGTTTCAGGGCATTTTGTCTTCTTGCTCTGCAAATATTTTTAGATTTAATAGGTCTTTTTCAACAGCATCTTTTATTCCTGTCTATCTTTGCACATTTTCTTGTCCACATTGAACACCCTTCAGCTGCTCAGTTTATATTTTCTTGTGCATAACGATATACTTACAACTTACTTACAAGGTCCATCTTTCAGTGTTTACAGGTACTACTGTTTCATTTTTGGTCTCCTGGCAAGATTTTACATCAGTAGGCATTTACTGAATGTATTGTGCTAGCTGTACATTTTTATAGACCAATGGACACAAGATGGGAGATGTCGCCTTACACCAGCTGCCTTTCTTTTCTAGAACATTTCCTGGTAGACATTTTAGGCTGGTCCAACCTGAGCTCAGGTGAGCTTTAAAAAAAATATATATCTTTGCTCCTCCTTCTACATGTACCCTGTAAAGGGCAATTGGCTTGTTGTGTTGATATCTACGCCTTTCAACCCAAAACATCTGATTTAAGCAAAATCCTAATTAGCACATTTTCATGACACACTGGTTGGTGGGCCTCCTAAAATGGGTCCTTGGGACCCACATGGAAACCCAATATGTAATCTCTGGCAAAATAACATGGCAGTTGCTATTCAAAAATAAATATTTGAATGTGAAGACAAGACACTTCTAGCTGAAATCCAATCAGGCTGGGTCCTCTTAGCAGGATCAGAGATGCTTGGAGGGTATATAGATATAAGATTTCTGCATTTCTTGGAATATAGCTGTTCTTTGGTCATGCAATGAGAAGAGATGCATTGGAAATCATCGTGACATCTGGAAAGATCAGTGAAAAGAGGGGTAGAGCCAGACCAAAAGAGATATACCTGGATTGGCTGAAACGATGGCATGGAGCGATATCATCAAGAGAGCTTTCCAGGCAATCAAGGATAGTGATCTGTGGAGGTGCATGAGTGCCTACACCAGTTGGCAGGGCATGTGATGATGATGAGTATACTTACTAACCAGAAGTTAAAGTTTCACACTATGTGCCAAATTTTTCATTTGAAGCTTTATGTTTACGCGATACACCTTCATACTGCAGCCGACACACAAGTGTGCCACAACAATTTCAAAAGCTCTGTCCTGAACAGTGCCTGATAAGGTTAGCATAGTCGATAAGAGGTTAGCCTTTAAATCCAGCTGCAACTCGCTGCAGCCCACGGTCAGTGTTCAAAACCGGGCGGTTCCTAGGGTTCACCCAGCCTCTAGGAAATGGGTACAGGAGTTGACACTCTGGGGTAAATGGAGGGCCGTCGCTGTAGCTACAGAGTTACTTGCGGACGGCGACACGGCCGGACAATTCTTATCAGCTGTCTGTACTGGTAGCAGAGCACTTATGGTTTATAACCGTGTGCAATGATGCTGGTTCACATCTCCCGACTTTACCTTTTTTTTTTACCTTTAATGTTAACTGAAAGTGACCCTGTGCCTTTTTTGGAAGCTGAGACCCGTGGTAGCACAGAGACTAGACATTTGCATACTGGCCTAAAGATCGGCTTTGAGTCCTCATTGATAAGGATTTTATAATTGATCTGGGCTCCTTTGTTGGTCCTGACAAAAAATGGATACCAGGAAATTTCTTGGGAAGTAAAAGCAGTTGTGTAATATTGACCACATCTCACATGGAGTGCTGGCTGGTGTATAAACATGTGGGTCATATGCCTGTGTTATTAAAGACTGGTTTAGGAGTTCTGAACGTGTTTTGTAATGCCGAGGTGTCAGCTTCATTCCCAGCTGCATGCGATTTAGAAGCAGACCACCTTGCATTGGTTTTGACAACGGCATCGTGAGCCAGCTGTTCAGTACTTGCTGAGTAGCCTAGTAAAGTAATAAACAGCCCCCCAAAAATGCTGGCGTCGGTTCTGGAACGTTCTATAAAGGACACACAGATAACATTTAACTTATTTCTCCTACTTTTTAGAGGCTGTGGTAATGCCAGAGCTGTATTGTAAAGATAAACAATTCTGCCAGTTACAATTAATCTCTGGTTGCGTTTTTGGAGAGAAATGCAACCAGCCACTAATGCTGTGTTTGATTTCACTAACATCATATATAGCATTTGGGATGCAGAGGGCTTAACCACATATGCTGATACACCAGGACAAAGACTTATACTGGTCATTATCTATTCTATCTGTACCTCTTTGTGACCATCCTAGAAATGGGTTCCCTACCAGGGGCCTGGTGAAGATAGATAGTTTCCTTCAAAATTAGAGTGTATCTTCCTGGGAGGCGGGGAACCATCAGTTTGCATATAATTAAGCCAGATCTGTAAAATAAATGTGCATGCAAAACTTAAGTTCTGGAGTGGATGAAAAACCTAGAACTTTCCACCACATTTTACATCCGATAAACACTAAGAAGAAGAAGGAACAAAGTCCAGATGTGGATGAAAAACCAGACTTTCTGCTGGAGTTTACAGTCTATGGTTAGGAAACAGAAGAAGAAGAAAGATAACATCTGTAAGCCTGTGACACAACTGTTTTATTCTTTAATTATTATCTAACCCAGCTGAAGCTGATGTTCTAGTGGGGGAAATCACGGATAGCTCTGCGGAATCAGATTCTGAACCAGAGACAGTGAAACAGGCTCCAGAGAAAAATAGTGAGTTTCGTTGTTTGCAAAAACTCATTGTTTTACAAAGAACTTGAAGACGGTAGTACACGATATTGTTTACACATATGCACGTGTAATACTGTCTTCATGCTCTTTCAAAATAAAGAGTTTCCTTGTTTATACATACACATGTAATACTGTTAGCAAGCTCTGAGTAAAACAGTGAGTTTTCCTGTTTATACATACACATGTACTACTGTCTGCAAGCTCTGAGTAAAACAGTGAGTTTTCCTGTTTATACATACACATGTACTACTGTCTGCAAGCTCTGAGTAAAACAGTGAGTTTTCCTGTTTGTACATGCAAATATAATACTGTCTGCAGGCTCTTTGTAAAAGACATTTTGTGAAGTAAAGGATCCTATTTCTGTTAGAAAACTGAGCATATGATGCTACTTCTATAGACCAGTCGGCACTAGCGAGTGGTGCCCCTAACTGCCATTATTTCTTGAGGCATGTCCTGGTATTCAGGTTAGGTTCGATCAACCTGTGAGCCAAAGTCAGTTACAAAAATCTGTATTGATATGGTTCATAAACAAGATGTGTGGGCTAGTAGACGCATATCCGGCCATTGCTTTACCCCGGCCAACACAGTTTTGTTAAGGACAGAATAATATTTCATGTTGGTTTTCCTTTAAAGAGAATTCTGTGTCCACTATCTCACAGTGTATTTTCTTATCATCGGGAGTCTTTTGAAATATATTATATATTCTTGTGTTTTTGGTAATTTGAATCTTGAATATCTTCTTTGTTCCTATTTTAAAAGGGGTATATCACACCTACTCATACACTCCTGTGTGTTTTTGGTAATTTGAATCTTGAATATCTTCTTGTTTTCCTATTTTGAGCAGAGTGCATCATGCCTACTCACACACTCCTGTGTATTTTTGGTAATTTGTTTTGAATATCTTCTTGTTTTCCTATTTTGAGCAGAATGCATCATGCCTACTCACACACTCTTGTGTTTTTGGTAATTTGTTTTGAATATCTTCTTGTTTTCCTATTTTGAGCAGAGTGCATCATGCCTACTCACACACTCTTGCGTTTTTGGTAATTTGTTTTGAATATTTTCTTCTTGGCTCTTATTTTGAGAGGAGTATATCATGCCTGCTCACACACTTCAGAGATCAAAGTGTGTCCAGCATCAGCGGGCATTTGTATAAGATTTACCTCTCTGACAGATTCCGTCCAAGATAGCAGGTTCTCTCTGTGTATTGGTAGGTTTCTTTCTAAGCAGGTTTTCCAGGGTAAGTTTCTGGGCCTTCTCTTTGCAGTTTCCAAACAGGCCTGTGATTTTTAACCTACTGAACTTCCACATGAAGCCTTTTTTTCTAAGTCTAGAATGTAATCTCACTGTCAAAGAGACCTGACACGTTTGATATCATTAGAAACAATCAGTCAGTCAGCATGTCCTTTACAGAACATCGCTTTCTTCACTGCACGGCCGAAAGTATCTGTTTATCTAACCGCCAACCCCCAACCCCCCCCCCCTTTTCTTTTGAAGGTCTGTCAGCGACCCCATACGTGTCTTTAGTGTTCTGTATCCATATTCACAGAGGTTGGCCTGTCTTATTTTTTGGAAACAGCGCCCTCAGTCATCGTTTTGTCTAGACCATCTTGGCATTTGGCACACCCACAGTGCCTCAGCTTTGAAGAGAGGATGCTGTTTATGAGCCAGTTCTTCTTGATGTTCAGGTCATGCTGGATGTCGTCGTTTTTCTTCTTCATCCACTCTGAATCTGTGGCAGACATCATAATATCTGAACCACACCCCCATCTGTGTTTTAAACATTATCTTCTGCTTTTACATCTTTTCAAACCATCACCCTCTCTCACTCTGCCCCACCACATTTCCTCTTCAACCCTTTAACTATGAATTTTTAATGTTAAGTATAAAAGGAAACTGTTTAAGATGTAGGATACTTGAGAACCTTTAAATTAACAAATATATAAGTTGAGATACATTTGAATGAAATGGATTTGTATACGCCTATATGTATGGGATTTTTATTATACTGGCTTGGCTAAACTTATTTGTGTGTATGTGTGAGATTTATTTTTGTGATTTTATTGAATAATTATGTTTTGCCTTTTATGAGACCAAAATAGTTTTTAAATAAAAGTAATCATCCCTCTGTATACAACAATAAGAAGGAGACAAAAGTTCTTTGGTCATGTGATAAGAAAAGGAGCACTGGGAAATATTGGGATGACTGGAAAGATCACTGGTAAAAGAAGCAGAGGCAAACCAAGAGAAATGATGGTGGATGGCTTAAGACAGTGGCATAGAGGAATGTCAGTGGAGCTGATCCATAACACCAAAGACCAGTGAACGCCCATGCCAGCTGGCAAGGCACTTGATGATGGTGGCCTCTGCTGATACTGTACAGGTGTTTAGTTTTAAGCTTTCTCATATCTCAAGTCAGTTCATAAAAAAACTGAGGTAACCATTTCCCTTTATTGTGATATTATCTAACCATATAATTTCCATGCTACAATAGTGGATGCATATGGAGAGAATGGCAGTTCTCAGAGCCATTTGGGAGCAAGTAAACAGTGCAGAGGCACAAAAATATCATTATGGTCTGAAGAGAATGGCGCTGCAGAGAGTTACCAGGGGATCTGGCTCATGCTTAACACTCGAAGGGAAAGGCGTGACGGATGTACAATCAGACAATTACTGGTACCATCGGAATTGGAACTCTTCGCTTCCTGCTGAAGATGGGAATGGAGTGCCTATGGGAGTGTCCCAAGTGCTATAATGTTGATTCTTCATTCAGCATTCAGTGATAAGGCAGATATCAAAGAGTCAAAAACTGCTTGCAGAAAAGAGTTCAAGAGGGCTAGACTATGAGGCAAACAAAAAAGATGTAGAGATAATATACAGGCAGACTTATATACACTTGGGAGTCACACAAAAAGTATTAACTTATCAGAGCATCTGTTATATACATATTAGGAGATGCTGTTGATTTCTAAGTCAGTGATGTTTAATTATTCTGTGATCTAAGTCAGGAATACTTGTCAGGGAAGTAAGTAAAGTAAGCAAGGTAAAAGACCCTTTAGGCGTATAGGGCTAGACCTATATTATCGGCACATGAAGGGTGATGTGGTCAGCATCACGCCAGCCGCCTCTACTTCCCGGCACTGCACCCGGTACCCACTCAAGGCTAGGTCGACCTGGGAGCCAAGGTATTTTTTGAATAAAGTCTGGCTCCGCCATGGAGCGGACCCACGACCCTCCGATCCACGGCGAACGTCTAGCCGCTTCGCCACTGGGACTCCCCTGTCAGTGAAGTAAAGGACCCTTTTCCACGCCTTTAGGCGTAGTTGGCATATAGGGCTAGACCTATATTTTTATAGACCAATCAGCACTTGGTGGGTGGTATGATCTGCATTACGCTAGCTGCCATTACTTTCCAGGACTGCACCTGGTACCCATTAAAAGCAGTGCTGACCAAGGTCATTTCTAGAAAAAGTCAGGCTCCGCTAGGCCCCAAAGCCATGGCCTTCAAATCCGCAGGTGAGCGTCTAGCCGCTACACTATGGCGACTCTCAGATTCCCTGTGCTGTTAAAGTAATCCTTTACAAACTTGAAAAGTCTGCCTGAGTCATAGAAATAAAATCAGTGATATAATGAAGAGAAGATTGTCTTCTTGAAATTGAGTTTATGAACATATATTTCCTCAGATTCACATCGGCCCTCCGGTCAGATCAAGAAATTTGATGTTTTGAATGACGACCTTGCTCTCAGTGAAGACAGTGATAGCAGTTGATTGTTAGACCTTGACAATGGAATCCGAAGCATGACACTTTTGAGTGTTTCTCTTGATAAATATGCCACTTCTGCAGCTCACATTCATTATGTTGTTTTCTCTAAGATAATATTAATATGGGTATTCCTGATCTAAGTGTCTTCAGAGTGTAAATTTAAACAAAGGAGACACAAACAATGCATTGCCTGGTATATTTGGTTATACTCGACAGTGAATACTATCGTAACAGGTGAGTATAATGAAGAAAAAAACATTGAAACCTTTCAGGTGGATTTATTTATTTGATTTATTATATTCAGTTGTTATTGTAGTACACACTTAATGAAATAAGGTTAAATATGCCAAGCAGTAAATTGTGGAATCTGTTGTTTGCTTTCTGTGCTGATATACTTGATCTTGCCAAAAGCTTTTGTTGAACTCTTGTCACATTTGTTGGTAAAGGGTAAATCCAGCACGATTTTGTACTCTGCCAGAATTGCTCATTTATACCCAAGGGCTTTTTCAGGCCTATTATTTATCAATATGCCAAAGGCAAACATGTGAATTCCTACTCTGAATATAAGAAAATAAGGTAATCCTTTTCTTCACATAACTACACAGATTTTCAGAGAGATCTCACTGTTTTCTCGCATTTTCCTGAAACACTGATTTAGCACTTCAGTGACTTTGGCGTGTGCCGACAGATTATCTATAATCGCATACCCTTATAACCCATTTAGTACCAGGTTGGTGTTATTTTCAAGTAATTATGTTTTAAGAAATTGTTACTTTAAATAATAAATGTTTGAACCGATACAATAATAGCACTGTAGAAAGAGGTGTGGGTAAAGTCAGAAATAGACCTACCAACTGGATTTAAGAAAAGTAAAAACATATCTGAACTGAACCCAACAAACTCATATTGAGTTGCTTGGTACTCAGTGTGTTAGATCATGCTCAGTTTTAATTACATTGTCAATAAAGCACATGGTGATACTGCTGATTAGAAAGGATGTTATGTGACCCAGAAAGCTCATGTGGTGGCTGCACTATTAGGAACAATGCTGTGTAACCCAGAAACTGTTTTTATCTTTGGTGGCTACATGCTTTTTTATAGAATGATATTATTCAGCATCATACTGTAGTTTTCAGTGACTGCAGAAGTGTTACTGCTGCCTGGTATGTTGCAGTTTATTGTGGAGGCTGGTTGATTGTTTTATTGTACATGTATGAGAGAAATTCTGAACTAATGATGCAAAAGAATCCTCATCTGCCGACACAGGACTGCAGGTTACATCAGATTGGTATAGCCGTTACTGGTGCTCTAATTTCTTTGGTGGTTGAACAGGGTATCTAGGATTTGCCCTGTTGGTCTGCCATCCATTTTGGGATCATGTAATATTAGGATGTCAACCTTCAGGTAGTAGATGAGATGTGGAAAAACAGAACTGGACCAGATGATGCACAAAATGCATATGACTTCATTGCCACTGAAGTGGCTGGGTTAACCATTTAGTGAAAAATTGTTTGGAGGCGGCAGAGATGTGGTTTGATAGATACATACTGAGAATGCCCTAAACAGTTTAAAAGAGCAATTAACATGTCTTGAAAGAAACTGACTCATGAAGAGAACAGATTCCCCACATCAGGAGTCAATCTACGTTCTTTGGTCACGTCATGAGAAGGGGGGGAAACTGGAGTACATTGCGATAGTGAGAAAATGGGAAGGAAAAAGAGGCAGAAGGAGACCAAGAGAGAACATGCTGGACAGTTTGACATTGTGGCATGAATCATAGCATCATGAATATCAGAACTGATTGAAAGTACATGAGACAGAAGGTTGTGAGTGTACATGAATACCTATGCCACATGGTTAAGCGGTTTCCCCATGTGCTGCAGGTGGTTTGGAGAACAAAATTGTTGGAGGTACCATTTTTGTGCTTTCTGCAACACTTGTGGATGACCAGTCACTCTGCAGAGGAAAATTATGTGATATGGGATAAAGTGTGACACAGTGAAGTCAGTCCTCTTGAGTTTAAACACTTTTAAGGCTGAAATTGTGTCTTCACACCTACTGTATAATGGAATGATTTACTTGATTTTAGATGATCTGTATTCTGTTATATGGGGGTAGAACAAATTCTGACATAATACACAATTTTTGTTCATTGTCACTGTATAGAAATTAGTGACCATAGAAGTGAGATGTCTGAGAAGGGCTGCAGGGGGTGATCAGAAGAGATATAGTCCGAAATGAAGTCATAAGAAAAAAAATTAAAAATTCAGCACATAACTTTTTCTAAATAACAAGGACAGCAGATCAAGTGGTTTGCCCACTGAGAGAAATGCCATACTTTGCTATGCATACACCAAACGATAAGGGCATAGAGCACAAGGTATACCAATAACATTATGGAAAGATAACATCAGAGAAACTCTACAACAGCGTGATGTGTCTGTTGTTGCAGCGGCCAGAAGAGCAAGAAGGAGGACATATCTCCCTGGAAACCTCACTCAGTAAAAGATAAGGGGAAGAAATCTTACTGATTCAGCTGGTATTTTGTCTGTGCATGTATAATTGAATGTTATTAACATACTCAAAGTCCAAACTTTTCAGAGCTCAGCATTGCTGCTGAACAAAATGTTGTCTAACAAAATTCCACTCCTCAAAACATTGTTACTGCTGATCACATTAGCATCAAGACATTATTTACTGCTGATTGGGTTGCCATGAGGACAGTATTTACCGCTGATCGGGTTGTTGGCAAGACATTATTTACTGCTGATCAGGGCGTGACAGTTATTAACAAGATTCCATTTGCTTGATTCCATGTGCATGTGTTTGTTTGATTTCTGCATATCATATATAATGTGATTTTTCTTGTTTCAAATTTGGAGCATGTTTTTATGTGAAAGCTGAGCAGAGTGTTGTGTTTAATTGATCTTGTGTACATAATTTGCTGTAAGTTGTATTTGTGTAATTTAACTTCAGATGTAAAAAGCAGATAAGTTGAGAAACTTTTTTTCGTGGGTTAGGTGCAACAGATGTGTAGTGCTTGACCAAAATTCTTATTGAGCAGTAAGCACTTGATATGTTATGTGGTGAACGTTGCACTAGCGACTTTAGCTCCCATGACCTCATCTGGTACCAGATAAAAAAAAAGTAAAGGACCCTTTTCCAAACCTTTAGCCGTACAGGGCATATAGGGCTAGACCTGTATTTTATAGACCAATCAGCACAAGATGGGTGATGTGGTCAGCATCACGCCGGCCGCCTTTACTTCTCAGGATTGCACCCGGTACCCACTCAAGACTAGGTCGACCTGGGAGCCAAGGTCATTTTTGAAAAAAAGTCTGGCTCCATCAGGGAGCGAACCCACAACCTTTTATATGCGCAGTGCGACTAGCCGCTCCACCACGGCGACTCCCGTTACCAGATTTAGCCTGGGTCGATATGGGGAGCCGGAGCTGACGTACACATAAACAGTATCTTTAATGCTCTTCTGTGGCCAGTAATTGTTTGTGAGAATTATTGACAGTAAATTTTTATTATTTCCATTTTAAGTAATTAACTAAGATGGGCTGAGAGGTGCCAAGATGTCTGCCTCAAAGTTTTTGTTAAATGCATTTATTACTCTTTGAGTGCCTGCTGCATAGTTATGCTTTAAGTCATTCTATCCAGATCAGTGTTTGTTAGTAGCATCTACAAAAGTGTAAATAATCACCCTGTCGAGGAAAAAATAGAAATAGCAGGGTTTTAAATGTAACAGAAATAATAGCATAGTGTCCACAGTTTATTTGCTGGCATATCGCATGCCATACTACAGAACTTTTGAACAAAATAAACAAATAAGTGAGTCATTTCACATATTAATAAAGGACACTGAATTATAAGACGTGCTTAGAAAATAATATAATTTAAGGAATAGCTGATTAACTTTTTGTGGGTATCATGGATGCCAGAGAACAGGGAACATAAAAATACAACACATTATATGAGATGGTAGGAATTTAATAGAACCCAGCATATCTTATGAATTTCTGGAAAGGGGGGGGGGGGGGGGGGGGGTAATGTTAAAGCTTTCAGTGCCAGAATTTGTAAACTTCAGATGATATATTTTATGAAATGAAAATAATACAAGTATGAGGCCTAATAAGTTGAAATAATAGTAGGGATGCAGCATCTAACATAACTGAAGAATGACAGAAATGTTCACTGTCAGTAAAGTAATTATAAGCCTGTAATGAGTGATTTCGCACTGAATTAGTAAAACAGCTCAATCATTATATTGATTTCTTTAATTATTTTATTTACATGTATTTGGTTTTGGGTGTTATAATATTTAAAAAATTTATATGACCCTGTTTCATGCTTTGAGGTGTGCCTGGTTTGAGGCAGTAATTTAACATTTCTATAGACACACTCGGCATTCCATGGGTAATTTGGTCAGTATTACTCTAGTCATCTCTACTTCTTAGAACATTTCCTGGCACCTATTTGTAACTGAGAGAATTGAGGAAACAAGGACACCTAAGAGAAACCCTAAAGCGAATGGTGATGAGAGAAGCCAAAGGTGCTGAGCTGGATTTCATCCATGATACCGAAGTGGTTGCACAGGATAGAATGGAAATAGAGAAATAGACTACAAGTCCCCTCTTTGACATATAATGGCACAATAGGACAATGAATGAATGAATTTTGTATCTGAGGGTCAGCCTGGGAGCTCGAGCTAATTAAAAATAAGGATTCAAAGCTAAGGGTTGGCAGTAAGCAGTACAAATTGCTAGCCCCATATTTTGTAGATCAGTTGGTACCAGCTGGGTGATGTATTTCATCAGTACAACCTTGCTGCCTTTCACTACCCAAGTCATTTCCTGTTTTATGCCATGTTGGTCCAAAACAATTATGAAAAAAATTCATAAGAACTCTTCTGATTTAATCACGTGACTGCCAGACCAACAGTTGAGCTTGGAATCTATTATAACACTGTTTAAATATTGATGTGCCCGTTAAAAAAAAA